GGATATCTCCCCTGGAATGTGGGAAGAGCTTTGGAGCCCGACCCCCAACTCACCTTTCTCGGAGTCTCTTCCTTCCTCATCCTCCCCTTCCTGAAAACACAACATTGGGAAGTTAATCCCACCTGGAAAAGTCTGGGAGCTGCTCCAGACCTTTCCCTCAGGGCACCATTTCCCTGGATTTGGCCTCTCCCGACCCCGGAGCTCCGGGAAATCCGGGATGGCCCCGGGGGGAGACTCCTCCCCCCACACATCAGGGAGCTGATTTTTTGGGATTTTCCTTCATTAAGGCTCCGGGGGACGGGAATTTCCCCGTGTTTGGAGGCTGTGGATCCTGCCGGGAAGGGGAATTCCATCCAAAACATTCCCACCAAAACATTCCCACCAAAACATTCCCACCCGGCTCCTCCCTTCCCGCCGGAGCCGCTCCCGCGTCCCGCTGAGGAACTTTGGGAAGTCTCCAAGACTTCATGGGATGTTTCCAAGGGGTTTTCCCATTTTTTTTTTAATCTTTCAAGGAAAGGGTGGGGGGGGAGGTCGGGAATCCCCCGGAATTCCCACATTTCCCTCCACGGAGCTCCTTTAGTTTATGGGATGTTTCCAAGGGGTTTTCCCATTTTTTTTTTAAATCTTTCAAGGAAAGGGTGGGGGGGGAGGTCGGGAATCCCCCAGAATTTCCACATTTCCCTCCGTGGAGCATTTCCCTCCATGGAGCTCATCCCAGCTCCCTTTGGGAATAACCCCGGGATGTGCCCTCACCAAGCAGAGCTTTGACCCACAAAAAAGTCCTTTGGAATATTTCCTTACCCCTCGGGATCCCTCCTTTCCCACACCAAAGCATTTGGAATGTTTCCTTACCCCTCGGGATCCCTCCTTTCCCACACCAAAGCATTTGGGATCTTTCCTTCCCCCTCTGGATCCCTCCTTTCCCACACCAAATCCATCTGGAATGTTTCCTTACCCCTCTGGATCCCTCCTTCTCCTCCTTGTCTCCCGACTCTCCTTCCGTGCCCTCCTCTGGAAGGAACAACACCCTGAGCACGGAGACGCCCTTCCCGACCCGGATCCATCCCGAAAAACGTGTCCCCACATCCCAGGGGACCCCAAACCCAGGCAGGGGGGCCGTGTGTGTGTCCCCAAATCCCAGGTGACCCCAAACCCAGTCGGGGGGGCCGTGTGTGTGTCCCCACATCCCAGGTGACCCCAAACCCAAGCAGTGGGGCCATGTGTGTGTCCCCACATCCCAAACCCAGGCAGTGGGGCCCTGTGTGTGTCCCCACATCCCAGGTGACCCCAATCCCAGGCAGTGGGGCCCTGTGTGTGTCCCCAAATTCCAGGTGACCCCAAACCCGAGCAGTGGGGCCGTGTCCACATCCCCACATCCCAGGTGACCCCAAATCCAGGATGTGGGGCCGTGTGTGTGTCCCCAAATCCCAGGTGACCCCAAAACATCCCAGGTGACCCCAAACCCAGGCAGTGGGGTCATGTCCGTGTCCCCACATCCCAGTGACCCCAAATCCAGGCAGTGGGGCCGTGTGTGTGTCCCCACATCCCAGGAAGTGCCGTGTCCGTGTCCCCACATCCAGGAGGGGCCATGTCCGTGTCCCCCCCTCCGCCCTCACCGTTGTCCGAGTCGGAATTGTCGGATCCGTCGGTCTTGGCGGCTTTTCCGTCGGGTTCCTCGGAGCTGCTCGGCTGCTTCCGCTTCCTGCCCATCGGATCCCGCCGGAGCTTCTTCCTCTGCAGCTGGGAGAGGGAACAGGGGATCAGGGAATCTGGGAATGTCCCCGGCTGGAAGGAATCCATGAGGATCATCCAGTCCAATCCCTGCCTAAAATCCCACCAAGTGCCTGAGAGCCTCGTCCAAATGCTCCCTGAGCTCCAAAATCTTGGGATATCCTGATTTGGAAGAGACCCACAGGGATCATCCAGTCCAATCCCTGCCCAGGACACCCCAAAATCCCACCAAGTGCCTGAGAGCCTCGTCCAAACACTCCCTGAGCTCCAAAATCTGAAGCCCCTCCCCACAGGGGATGAGCCGAGCTGGGCCCACACCCCTCCTCTAAATTCCTGCTCACCTCAAAATCCCAATCCCACATTTTCCAGTTCCTCATCCTCCCCCCTCCGTAGCACCCAGAATTATGGATTTGTAGGGAATTCTGAAGCCTCTCCCCACTGGGGCCGAGCTGAGCCGGGGCCGACTCACCTTAAAATCCCAATCCCACATTTTCCAGTTCCTCCTCATCCTCCTCCCTCTGTAGCACCCAGAATTATGAATTTATAGGAAATTCTGAAGCCCTTCCCCACAGGGGTGTGCTGAGGACGTGCTGGACACCCCCCTACAAAACACTGCTCACCTCAAAATCCCAATCCCACATTTTCCAGTTCCTCATCATCCTCCTGCCTCCATAACACCCGGAATTATGGATTTGGAGAGAATTCTCAAGCCCTTCCCCACTGGGAATGAGCTGGGCCCACACCCCCATATAAACCCCCCCTCACCTTAAAATCCCAATCCCACATTTTCCAGTTCCTCTTCATCCT